TGTTTTTCAATTGATTGTTGAGGCTGCTAGAGGGAGGGGCAGCCTCTGGCTCTGGTTCCCCAGTGAGGAAAGCCACTCCAATGGCTGGCGCCTGAGCTGGGTGACTTTTCCCTGGATGGAGCTGAGTCTGTCAGGTCACTTCGCCGTTAAGTTCTTGTGACCTGCTAAATGACTCGTTGTATTCCAAGGCCTGAGTTGGAGCTGGCAGCTCCTGCTGAGCTTTGTCGGTATCCAAGATGGAGATCACCGGTGCTGGGGGGTGAGGGGTGGCCTTCCCTCCTCTGCTCCCTGAGAAGGAGTGAGGACGTTAGGCTTCTACTCACGCGGAGTCTTGAATCCTGGGTCATCTCTGGTCTGCAAACTGCAGGATGAAGATGTCCGCTCCTTGTCAGTTCTTGCTGGTGTTGAGTAAAATCCGCTCGCCCGCTGTGTCTGGCTCCTTTGTCCCGGACTCTCTGTGTGAGCGCTCAGGTATGGCTTTGGTCTCCGCCGCTTGCAACCCTGCCGCCGCCGCCGCCGCCGCCACCGCAGCGGCTGCTGGCAATCGCTCAGATGTGTCTTTTTTGCCTTGGCTTCCCTCTCTTGTCTAACTCTCTGTCCTGTGATGGCACACTTGGTGTGATTCTCTGGCTTAGGACTGTTCATTGGAACTCTAAAACTGCTTTCTATGCGAGAGCTTGTTCAGATTCCAGCTTCTCCTCCACCATCTTGCGCCGTCTCCCCTTGTTCCTTTCTTATCTCTGTTTTTCTGTTTATTTTTACATGAACTTTTGCTTCATATTCCGTTTACTTTCTCCTTGACTCCCATCCATCTAATCTTACTTCAACAAATCAATCCATCCTATGTGTGCATTCTTTTCATTTCTTCATTTAAAGGAAAATGTGTTGTGTAAGATCACTGAAATCCTAACTCAGAAAAAAATAGCAAATACTAAAAATGCTATGCAAAATCACTGAACTCACATACTCTCCCAATATTTTCACATGACCCAATGAGGATTCTGCATTTTACTCAATAACATAAAATCAACTCTATTAATGAAATTCCTAAAAAAAGAATGTAGTCGAAAACTCAGTAGAAACTGATGAGTATTTTGATTATATCTTGATTGCCATACTGAGGAAGCTGAATATTAATTACATTTTCATTTTTTAAACATCATGCTCTCAACAAGAGAACAAGCATACAATATTCTTTTGCCAAAATATTGTTATATTTTCAACTAGAAATTTAATTTATAGAAAGCTATAGTAAGTTACATAGCCATATATTTATTACAAATGTAAATATGAGAAGAGATATGAAGTCATTCATGGAGCAAAGTGTATGAGAGTCTTATTTCCAGTAAGACAACTAACAGTTAGAAATGCAACTGCAGATCAAGTGGTAAAGAAGCATTGAGAGAAGAGGTGAAGGACAGTATAGTTCCTGTTACAAGTATGCATAAATGAATTGAATAATTATCAGAAGAAACAAGAAAAGAACTCTTGAACAGACAAGAAATGAGTGCAATTGTGTCTATGTCTCTTGAAAATGTAATTATGTAAACATAGTATAGGGCCCACTAAATCAACCTATTTGAAACAATAAGTAAACCTTCCCTTATCAACATTTTGTAATGTGGCAAATAAAAATTTTCTTGTTTTATCAAATGTAAGAAGTGACGATATTACAAGAAATAACTTTATATATATATATAATATTCAAAATTCTTTTCATCAAATTAATGAAGAGATAGTATCAGCCATAAAATGAAGAGTATATACAGGCAAGAAAGGGCTTACCATTATGACAACAGACTTTAAACTTAGGAGAAAATTCAAAAAACCTTTTTCATTGTAAACTTAAATCAAAGTGAAATTTTGTAACATATAAAAGTAATTCCCAAATTATATGAGGGAAGCAGTGTGAGAGGGAAGAGAAAGACAAAGAAGGAAATGGAAAGAGACAAGTAGAAAGAAAGATCAGGACAGACAGAAAGGTCCCACAAAAGAGACTCAGGATAATTTCAAAAGGTGAACATGTGAGTAGAAATATACAAATATTGAACAAAACAAAATCTAAAAACAACATTAAAATGTAAATTTGTGAAGAGGAAAATATTAATGAACTTTACTTGAGGATTCGGCAACATGGTGGTGGGAAGACAGGAAGTTAATAAACATAATGATGTAGAGGAGTAATTGAGCAAGATAAAGATAATCTTAACAGACTACCAGTAAAGCTATGTACATGTGACCATATAAGAAGATACTAAGGGAAATAATCCCCAATATAGGGACACAACAGTCTTTTTATCTTTTTCACTGTCATTTTTAATGTACTCCATGAATTTTTTTGTTTCCTTTGTATGCTCTTTCCCTAAGGTATAACCTCTGTTTTCACTGTAATTGATTGGGATGCAGTGCATCTTGCATACATATTTTTCTAATTGGGGAGGGGAAGGGAAATAATAAAATGCTGAAAAAAGGACACAGGTTGACCCATTGTAACAGTGAGAGGTAAAAGGCACGATGTTGAAAATGAACTTTACAACTTGGAGGGGGAGCACAGGGAAGGGGTAGGGACATGGGGCTGAAGGGATGGTAGGGGAAAACAAAGGAGGGGTTAAAGACACTCGGTAAGAAATGTACTCATTAACTTACTCACGTAACTATAAACACTCTGTACAGTACCTTTACAATTAAAGTATACATACATAAAAAACAAAAGAGAAAAGACTTTAGGAAGAGGGGATAATATAATTAAGTACAGATTAAATAGGAAGACCAAGATATAGAAGCAAAACTCCAGTATGAATTATGATTACCATCACTTGTGATTACCGTTGCTAGGAAATATACAGTACAGCCTTATTCTTTGAAGTAAAAAATATATAATATAAACTATGACAAAGAGATAAATACTATAACTAGAGATTTAGATTACACCTTCCGTGTACTAATCAAACCTAGGTACTTAATACTAAGTATGCTTATTTCTCTTACTATGTCTTTTATCCCTGAAGCCATGCAGAGAATTTCTATTTGGCATTAACAAGAGTGTATAACACTTTGGGGCAAAAATGCAGCTTAGGAGCCCTGCACCAGAGGCCAAGATGGAGAAGACCTCCACAGCCACCATGACCTTCCCTTTGGCACTGTGGTAGACAGGCAGGAAGGTGAGCCACACACTGCAGAACACCAGCATGCTGAAGGTCAGGAACTTGGCTTCATTGAAGGTGTCAGGCAGGTTCCTGGCCAGAAAAGCCACGGTGAAGCTGCACAGGGCCAGAAAGCCCAGGTATCCTAGGACACAGTAGAAGGCAGTGAGGGAGCCCTTGTTGCACAGGATTATGATGTGGCCATGTTCAGAATGTGCATCTGTGTCCACAAAGGGAGGAGAGGTTCCCAGCCAGAGTCCACATAGGGTTACCTGGATGAGTGTGCAGATGGGGATGATGAAGTTAGGAGTTCCTGAGACCAGCAGCCACCTCATCCTTCTTTCTGGGGAAGTGGCCTTGAAGGCCAGAACCACAGTCACTGTTTTGGCCAACACTGTGGAAACAGCCACAGTGAATACAACCCCAAATGTGATCTGCTGCAGGATGCAGGTGGCTGTTTTGGGTCGACCAAGAAAGAGCAAAGAACAGAGGAAACAGAAGATGAGGGAGATGAGCAAGATATAACTGAGAGCCCGGTTATTGGCCTTAACAATGGCAGTTTCTTGGTGTTTCACAAACACCCCAAGAACAGCAGCAGTTAGCATAGAGAAGCAAAGAGCCATGCAGGCCAGAACCATGCCCAAGGGATCTCCAAAAGCCAGAAAACTTGCAACTCTTAAGAGGCACTGTGTCTTGTATGTGTTGGCATACTGATGATCTGCACATTTCACACATTGCTCCATATCTGGTGAAAAATGTACACCACCATTACTTTTTTATTAACCAAGTTTGCTTCAAAGAATTTAGGGAATTTTTCTTTCAGGTGAAATTCTCAGATGTCAGCATTTATTATCATAAAAGTGTTTTTGTATTTTTTTGCAAGCCATAACTGCTTCTCATTTTTTCTTCCTTATTCAGGTATTTTTATTCAATATTTTTTATTGTGAAAATACTGTACAGAGGAGTTACAATTACATGGGCAAGATAATGAGTACATTTCTTATCAAGCATTGTATCCTCCTCCTTTGTTTCCCCCTCCAATCCCTTCCCATCCTCCCCCTCACCCCCTCACCCAATCCTCTCTGGCCCGTGCCCCCGCCCCCGCCTCACCAAAGTTGTAAAGTTTGTTTTCGACATAACGACTTGTACATCTTTTTAATCAATGACTATCACACATATAGATAAAATAATAGGTGGGTTATTGCAATATCTTATTATATATTTTATACTTTTTATAATGCGAATTTAGAGTGTGTAATCGTATGAAAATTGGAAGTATAAAGCTTATATTGCCCTATATGTTTCTGTAAGACATATATTTTTACCCTCTGGTATATTATCTTTGCTTTCCTCTCATTATGCTTGTCTTGGCTATTCACCTGTGAAGTTGTACGAAAAAACTCATCAATCTTTGACCCTCTGTACTCATTCCTATTTCTTAAACTGATTATAGCTTACTGAGGCCTTGCCCTGTGCCAAGAATAGTTCTGGGCACTGAGAAATAAAGATAAGCAAGATCCAAGTTTTCTGTGTGAGTTAAATGTGAGTTTTAAGATGAATACTCTTCTTATACCACTTACGTTTAATTTTATGGTAAAGTTTAGACTTGCCTTAATGATTAGTGATAAGAAGGATTCCTAGAGTAACTTTTCCTGCAATACATTGGAATATCTTTCTAAATATGTAATGCAAAACCATGTTCTATCACATTGCCATTAGCAATGCTACCACTTTTCAGAATTTAGTTATTAACAGAGAGAAGGAGAATGAGCTCTGTGATCCTAATACACATATTTTGTATTCACTTGTTTCGATTGAGGATAACTAGGGAGAGATAAATGATTTCTTTATAAGCATGACTTACCTGTCCCATTAGCAATCTCATTTTGTGAGCAAGGGGTACAATCAAAGCAACAGGCAGCCTTTCCCTCCTGAGGAGATTTCCGGAATCCAGGACCACAACTCTCACTGCAGACAGAGTGAGGAGTCTGAGGAAAGGCAGGGTGTGCCAATAACTGTTCTGACACATACCAAACACTACAACAATCCATAGTTTCACAATGGGATGTTTAATTATAATGTTTTAAACAGGTAAGTGCATTTGATTTATTGAATTCTGTTATAGATTACGTATTCAATGATTCTCAAAGACTAGGTGCATCAATCTTGATTTCTAGCCTGTTGAATTACTGTAAGGCATGGGATTTTTAAAAGGTGGAAAGTAGTGGTGAGAAAGTAATTTCTAGTTTACAGCCCTATGGGATTTCATTGAATTCCTGGCACAATATGCTTTCTCCTACTCATCTGTGACATTAGAAAGAGCAAGAGGGAGACCTCCACTTTATAGGGTTGTGTGAGCCCGAAGGTCATAATGGTTTTTTTTTCTTTGTTTTCCAGCATTCATGAGTTGAAAATCTTCTCACAGGTGCATTTAATGATTCCTTTAAACAAAGATGGGTAAGTTTCAGGTCAAATAACCAATGAAAGGATCTCCACAGAAGGGAGAAAAGAAACTTTTCAACCCCATAAATTAACTCTTCAGTTACTTTATTGCAGTGTTAGAATCTCACTGAGAAAAAAATATATTTTACATATTATGAAAATATTCCAAATCAACATGTGGAAACATTTGAAACTCTTTTGGTTCTGAACCTGGGGCTTGAAATCAAGGCCTGCGCACTGGACTTCAGATATTTTGACTCAAGGGTAGCACTCTAGTCCCTTAATCACAGCTCTACCTCCAAATGTTTGGAGGTTTATTGACAATAGAAATCTCACATAGTTTCCTGTGTGAGCTGACTGTAAACTATGATATTCCCATCTGAGCTATATTAGACTCTAGGATTATAGGAGAACCTAGCTGCAACTCAACCAGGTACAAATTTAAAGGGTGACTTGTGCTGATTTGTGTGTGTGCAAAATTATTAGGATCAGATCCAACTCACCTCCGTAGTTTCAATGGACCACTCTACCATATCTTCAGATAAAGAGAGTTGATTGCCATGTGGAGCATATGGAGAAAACTTTCCTACTTTCACCTCAAGTTCAAGACCCTCTGGAAAATTCCAAATATTCAGAATGTCATACTCTGGCTCCAATTTCCTTTGCTTGTCCCACATTACTTGATTTCCAATAGGATTGTAAAACTGGTTATTCTTCAGAAAATTGTGCAGCTAAAAGGAGACACATCTTATGGTCAAGTGTATTTCAGAGTTAAGACAGAAAGCAAAATATTAAAAGCTCCTGATTGCCTTTAATCTCTGATTCTGAATTTGAGAATAGTAGAGATAACTAGTGAAGTATCGCAGAAGAAAATCCATGGAGGAATCAAATTATCTTTGTGAAAAAAATCTTTTCTGATCACTCAGAAAAAGAGGAGGATGTTCAGAAAAATCAACTACCACTCTTTTGTGAATTTCTGAAGTTTGTTCTTTCTAAATATTTAATACCCAAAGTTGAATGAAACTCGGTCACTCATGAAAAACATGAGGAATTGGTTTCAGCAAGTCATCCTTTGCTATGACTGAAGAAACTCCTAAGGAAAAGCTGAATTTACAGATTTAAAAACACTAGTTATGAGCATGTTGATATTATTAACAACTAATGAGTTAATAAACAGGGTGCTGGTGGCTCAAGGATGTAATACTAGCTGATCAGGAAGCTCAGATCAGAGGATCATGCTTCTAAGCAGGCTGGGGCCGAAAGTTCAGTGAGAATGTTGTATCCAATAAACTTTTCAGAAAAAGTCAGAAGTTTTGTTTTGCTGAAGTAGTTGTGTGCTAGCCTTGAACACAGACTCAGCAACTGTGTTCTAGCCATTCCACTGGCCAAAATTAATTTATAAAAAGATGGAATGTATTTTATCCTTGTTACTGGCCTGTTGTTTTCTTCAGAGAATATCCCCACATGTCTAGAATACCTCAAAGACATTGAAACATAAAGAATTCATATGGTTTGGAAAAGCAACTGAAATATTTAATGTTGTAAATGTGACTATACATTTGTTCAATTTTATACTTCCAATAGTTTCTCATAATAGAAAGGAAAATGCTTAAGAGTTGAAAGAATTACTTCAAATACTGAAATATGTACCCATTAATATCAGTAAGCAAGTTATATATATAACATAGGGATATATATATATATAAATATGGTGTGTATATATATCTGTCTATATATATATGTCTATATATACACACACACCATATACATATTTATATCCCTATGTATATATAGACATATATATACACACACACACCATATATAAACAAAAACCCACATGTATACATACAGAAAAACTTAATTTCATACAGTAAGAGACACCTCTGACAAGTGCCTTTGCTCATGGTTTGTGTACTACAGCATAGACGAACTTACCTGAGTAGAGGAAGGCAGTTCTCCTTTTCTATTTCCCATTGTTTGAACTTCTGTTTGATGAAGAAGCATCTCATGCAGAGCTTGAGCCACAGCATACACACCGTTGTATATATTGTAACTGTCTACAGACATACTCACATCAAAACTATGCCCAGGTAACCAATACAAAGAGGCATCATGAGCACAGTTGTCCCATGTTACACAGTCCGACACAGAATCAGAGCAATTAAAAGAGAGAAACCACAGCCTCGCAAGAAAAATGTCTTCTGGGTATTTGGAAGGCTTAACTGCCTTGACAAAATCTGTGAATCCAGAAACATCTACATGATGGTGTGTAAAAATAAGAGGTACATGCAATGATCCTATCATGAAATATCTCCTTTTGAGGGAGAAATCCCACTGTGAGTTCATGATACAAACTTTCCCATGTGTAATAATTTGCTCAATATATATCATAAAAATCATCAGTGAATTATTATCACCATATATGATAAGGACACTTGCTGAAGATAGATTAATATAACGATTAACTGCTATGTGGTTATATGCATCTTGGGTGGAGACCACTAGCTCAGAGGCTACACAAATTCTGTTCTTGGCCATCTCGACTTCCAATTCAGCAAGAATCCTTGCCCCATTATCATCTTGTGTGGTCAATAGTCCCACCCAGCTCCAGCTGAAGTGAAGCAGTAAGGAGACCATGGCAGCGGCTATTGATGTGTCCTTTGGGGCCATCTGATAGAGAGCAGGAAACTTGTTATGGTCACTCAGGGCATGATCAAAAGGCCCAAAGGTAAACTAAAGGGAATGAAAATTGGATGTTCTGTGAACGAGAAGATTGCCATGCATCACAATCTCAGTCTTTTTATTTTTGCAATTGAGGGAATTTTTCTTTTTTTTTTATTGTGAAATTACTGTACAGAGGAGTTACAATTACATGGGCAAGATAATGAGTACATTTCGTATCAAGCATTGTAGCCTCCTCCTTTGTTTCCCCTTCCCATCCTTTCCCATCCTCCCCTACCCCTCCACCCAATACTCCTCCCCCCCACTAAAGTTGTAAACTTCGTTTTTCTACATAACAACTTGTACATCTCATTGTTGCAATGGGTCCACCTGTATCCCTATTTAAACGATTTTTTCCCCTTCCCCTCCACAAATTATACCGACATCAAATACAGTGAAAGCAGGGATTATACCATGGGGGAGGAACATACAAAGCAACAAAGAAATAATCTTATAAATGTGTTAGAAATAATCACCTGAAAGAAAAAAATTTGAATACATATCTTAGGGATCATTTCCCTAACATCAACTTATCTTACCTTTTCTGCTTGACTCAGACATATACTAGTTATAAGCCCAAAGAAACTTAGGTCCCATGGTTTCCCTTATTTACAATCTCAGTCTTGAAGTATGTTAAGAACTAGTTGAAGTAGATGGAAGGTAGGGTTTTTTAGTTTTTGAAAAATAATTTGTTTTTGAATAGCTGTGTATTTGTAAAATGTTTTTTAGTTTTTGTCACTATTTCCCATCAACACTTCCCATTTGCAACCCCACACACTCCTCAACTTTCCTAATTCCATTTTGACATATGCCCATTGAATATTATGTTGTATTCCTCCACCCAACCTTTTCCTATTCTTCTGAATTTTTCCCTTAAAACCTATGCCACTCAGACAAGATATGCTTCACCTTTTTTTGGTGTTCATTTTTCACACTGTCAGTAGATCAGAAAAGTTACATTATAGAGTTCCACTTCTATATATATCCTATGTTAGTCAGATGAATAAAGTGTATATATATATATATATATATATATTATAAATACATGTGTGTGTGTGTGTGCAATGGCTGTGTGACTTCCATATTTATTTCATTTAATATATTCATATTTTAGATGTAACTCTCACATTTGTGAGGATATGGCTATATTTTCTTATTCTGAGTCTGATTTATTTTATTCAAAATATTACTTTCTGTGTGTGTTTGTGTGTGTGTGTGTGTGTATACACATCAATGCCAGTACAGGGGCACACGCTCATACACTCTTGCACTTCCTTGGCTATTTTCCTTAAGACTTGTTCTATACCAATGGAGTCACACATTCACCTTGTGCTCCATGCAGATTAATTGGAGATACAAGCTTTCTGATTAGCTAGGATTACTTTTGTATGCCATCAGTAACCTGCTCAACATATCTTCACACTGCAAAGCCGTCATCCATTTCCTGATTTGTTAAATAAAATTACTCATAAAGATTGAAACAATAAATCATCCAATTATTTACTCAAATCTTTCACCTCTTTTTTCCAAATGATTAACATTATATTTCTGACTGCCATTAAGTAATTACACTTTGATATCACAAAATTTGATTTATTTGTGACTCCAGTCTCTTCCTGTCATTCTCTTCTAACACCAGAAATGGCATGAATTTAGACGTTTTTATATCCTTGCACACCTATCAACTCTCACCTGTGGAAATCTGTAGAGTCCCAGCAATGTCCCAATCTGGTCAGATGCTATTCCTGATGGTCCTGTAAGTACTGCTATAGAACTGCTTCTTCTCACGCAGGAATAGTTTGGAATTTTATACTTCCCAAAGAGACAAATGAAGGGATTCTTAAACATTGTCCAAGCATTGAAGTGAACATCATAGACATCAAATCCCAGAGTCAGGTTATGTAAAAGATCAGGGTTTTTGTTGATCTCCTCAATAGCAAAAGCCAAGGCCAAAACACACTGATAGTTCTTGAAGATCAACCTGCATAATGACCAAAGAAAATTTGAAGAAGTATGTCATGTCTTAAAACTTCAATATATCAAATGCTTGCTTCTTTGTCAAAGAAAAAGCTAAAATAATACCCCAATTAGAATGGAATGTAAATGTAGTCTTCTATGCTTACATATAGAATTCAGATACTTATTTAATTGAGGGAGAGCTTGTTTTCATTATTACCACATGTACCACAGCAAAAGGCTGCTGTGTGTTGGATTAAGTTTTCATGAGGCAGCAAATGTTGTGTTTCTTTACATTAGTGCAACTAACTACACCAGTATGGAAAATATTTCTCGCATTTTCAGTCACTCAGCTTGTTTTGTGATTATATGACAGGTCAGGCAAACTAAAGAATGTATAATTTAAGAACAGTATTCAGAAGCAAAAGGTTATTCATGAATGATACTATAGCAAGGTCTGTTCACAGACATAACATATGGAATAGCTCTTACTGATAACAACCAGGAAAAGAGCAGACCTATAAGGGGAAGGATTTTTATTTTTCTTTATGTAACAAAACAAAAGGGATGCATCCAATTTCAAGGAATTCATTTTGGAGAAAGAAACCCCTTACTTGAGGGTTGAGGAATGAATTATAGGTAAGCTGTGCATAGAATTTCCAGTTCCAAGACCTCTATGGTAAAATGCACTGATCACTATTCTCTTCCCAATATATTTAATAGAGACTCTCAAAATAAAAAGGAACAAAGTACTATTCTTTCTTTCTCCAAGTCCTGTCTGTGTGCGGAAAAGTATGTGTGAATGTGTGTTTTTGTGTGTTTATTTGCATGCTTGTAAGTGTGAAGATTATAAATAAATTAATATAATGAAATCAACTGGTATTGTTTAAATGGAAACAATGAAGGCATGTTGGAAATACTAATGAAAGGATCAACTTGTTCATTATATGCTGTAGGTATATGTGAAGTGATCATGTAAGCCTATCATATTCTGAAATGCTATAAACAAGAAAATAGTGAGCTTGAGAAAAAGCTAATTGCACATACACATATGGAGTAATAAAATGTAAGGATGATTATGTTTTAAAAAGCTTTTGTAAAAGTTGAAGAGAGTATTTTCAATGAAGCAAAAAGAAATGTAGAGATACCCAGAAAGTAAAAGACCTAAAGGTGAAAGAATAATCCATTTTTTATTAGTGTTGGGGCTGAAATCTGGTCCTGGGAGCTGTCTCTCAGCTCAAGGCTAGCACACGATCACTTGAGCCACAGCTCCACTTCTAGCTTGTTCTGCTTATGTGATGCTGAGGAATTGAACCCAGGGCCTCATGCATGTGAGGTAAGCACGCTACCAAAAAGCCACATTGCCATCCAAGGATAATGAAATTATTGAACATAACATCTACAGCAGCTTGTCTAAGCATGAAGCACTCACAAGTTAACTACATATACAGGATGATTTTCTAAACTAGAACAGAAATGGGACCCATATGCTATATGTGTGCACCCATTTTCATAACAGCTAACTCCTCAGCAGAGTCCATATAAGTCAAGAGAGCATGGCAAGAGATCTTTACAATTCCTAAGATAAAAAAAATCTAAATTATCCACCAAGAGTATTGCACCTAGCAAAGTTACAGTGTAGAAATGAAGGAAGGATGAAAATGTTCTCAGAGAAGCACAGTTAAGAGAATTTATTTACACTAAACTTTTCCTACAAGAAATACTAAAGTAAGTTTTTCAGACCACAAAACAGAACAATTAAAGAACATGAAAAATATGTATGAATGTATAGCCTCTGTCCTGTCAACACAGTCAAAGCTGAGTACAACCAAATGAGTCACAGAAAATAAACTCATGGAAACTAAGCAATTCATTGATTAGACTTCAGCAGTTATTTGAAGAGAGAGATAAAAATCAAAATTTAATTGTTTCTGGGATTCAATGTAAAAGAACACCTAAAATATCAACTCCTTTGGCACACAAGCAAGGCAGATCTCAGAAGATGGTTCATGTCTGTAAGTGCTTTCATCAACAAATTAGAAAAAATCTCACATCAATACTTCAATGATGCACCTCAAAGCAGACATGACACTTCCAAGAAGATGGTGGTATCATCACAAGTAAACTCCTTAGATGTATCTAAGAAAAACAGCTATATAGATTCCCTACATCCATTTTACCTCACGAGAGCCAAAAAATTGAACATTAAAGAGATGGGGACTCATTCAAATACATAAGAAATCTCACAACAGAAACACAGAGCAGCATACAACAAGACAACATACAGACTACTGCTGAGTGGCTGCAACCTTTGCCCCTAGCGTGCTCGGGAAGCCAAGAGAGACCCAAACATGAAGTGCCACAGATCAAATCTTAAACAGAGAACCATGTCATACTGACAAAATCACACAGCAAACACTAACCCTAGAAACACAAGGATAGAAAGAATGGCAGACATGAAAATCAGCTTGCAGACCCTCAAGGAGTGGCTGCTTGTACTGCCACACAACACAAAGGAGCAGAGAGACACCACAGAACAAGGGTAAGGGGAAATAGAAAGAGGAGATTGATAATGCCGCATCCAGAAACAGGAGCCCCTCAATAAGATTTCTGCTGCCCAGCTCAAAACTGTTTGAGCTCAGAATCTGTTTGTGCCTCCTCAGGGACTGCTTCCTTGAAGGAAAAGTTCCAAGTGGTAACCTAAATTGCCCATAAAAATGAATGCAACTGAAATGGCAACAAAGCCTCCAATTCAGGAAAAGCCCAGGACCAGATGGATTCACAGCAGAAATCTTTATGTCTTCACTCCCATGCACCAAAAACTCTTCAATAAAACAGAAAGTGAAAGATCACTACCAAAGTCTTTATGAAACCAACATAACACTCATCCCCAAACCAGATAGGAAACCATCAATAAAAAAGAACTATAGACCCATTTCTCCAATAGACGTTGACATAAAACATCTCAACAAACTTCGGGCCAACAAATATCAATACGTAATAAAAAAATCCCACACCTTATGTTCAAACTGAATTCATTCCAGGATTGCTAATCCGGTTCCATACACACAAGTCAATTAATGTAATTCAACACAGAAACAGAAGCAAAGATGAGAAGCACATGATCTTTTCAATATATTCAGAAAAATTATTTGACAAGATTCAACACTACTTCATGATAAAATGTCTAGAGAAGCTATGAATCCATGGAAAGTTCCTGAACATAATAAAGTCTATCTGTGACAAACCTAGAGCTACCCTTATACTTCATAGAAAAAATTAAAGCCATTCCCTCTAAATTCAGAACACAAGGATGACTTTTCTCTGCATTTCTATTGAACATACTGCTGGGATACCTAAGAAGAGAAATAAGGCAAGAGAAACACATAAATGGGATCCAAATAGGGAAGATGAGCAATACCTCCTGTCCTTAAAGAATCATATAGAATTGCTCACTCCAAGCTACTTGAGTTGATTCAAACTGTGGCAAAGGAACAAGCTCTGAAATCTAATAACAAAAATCCATAGCATTCATCTGTTCCAACAATGAGAAGAGTGATACTGAAATCAAGAAAGAAACACAATTTGTAATAGCCTTACAAAATACTTAGGAATTAACCAAAGTTGGGATGGTTTTATATTGTGAAAACTTTTCAACCTCGTATAAAGACATTGAAGCTGACTTAAGGAAATGGAAAACATCCCATGCTCCTGGTTTGGAAGAATTAACATCTTAAAAATGGCAATTCTGCCCAGAGTAATATACAAATTCACTGCAATACCAATAAAAATATCTGTAACTTTCTTCAAAGAATTAGAGAAATCAATCAAAATACTCATATGGAATAATAAAGATCGTGAATAGCAAAAAAGACATTCTTAGCAGGAGGAACAGTGCTGGAAGAATATCAACATCAAAGTTGAAGCATTATTACAAAACCAAAGTAATAAAAACATCTTGGTACTGGCAAACAACTGGCAAACTGGCCTGAAAACTAATCAAACCGAATAGAAGACGCAGAAACAATCCCACAATCATATAGCCACTTAATATTTTATAAGGGAGCCAAAAACACAGCTTCCAAAAAAGTTAGACTCTTACAGAAACAGTGCTGCCAAAATTGGCTATCTACATGCAGAAAACAGAGGCTTTATACCCATATATCACATTGTACCAGAATCAACTCTAAATGGACCACATAGCTTAATGTGAGGCCAGACACTGTCAAAATATTACAGGAAGTACTAAGGAAACACCTAAGCCTTATAGCCACAGAGTAAAACAATCTAAACAAAGATACATAATCACAACAAATCAAAGAAAGCCTGGATAAATGGGACTGTATTGGATTGAATAGATTCTGAGTAGCAAGGGACAAAGCTAGGAAGATATTTGAACAGAGTATAGAATGGTAGAAAATCTTGACTAGCTATACATTGATAAAGAGGTCATATCTAACATATACTGAGAGCTAAAATTTAGCAAGACAGAAGGAAACTCCCAACCTCAACAACCCAAGAGAGACTTAAGAGAGACTTCTTCGAGGAAGAAAATCATGGTCAATAGATACATGAAGGAGTGTGTCCAACACCTCAGAAAACATTACATTTGTCTTTCACTTGTTTCTGCTGTGGTTTATTCCCAATGGTCAGAGTTTCTGATTTCTGTACCCTTTTTCTTCTATATAAGTTTATCTGATTTGTGAAGGGAAGGGGAATCAGAGAAGCAGAGGGACAAAGTGAACCATTGCAACAGTGATACTCACTAGATACTGTTGGAAATAGAACTTTCAACTTGGGGAGGAGGGGAGTTGGGGGAGGAAAAGTGGAGAGAGGGTATCACTGTGTAAAAAGAAATGTACTCATTACATGTGTACCTGTAACCCCTCTTTGCATCACCTTTCCAATAAAATAATATTTAAAAAGAAGAAATGCAATTCAAAATAACATTAGGATTCTACCTAGTCTAGTTACAATGGCCATTATCTGGAAAATTCACAATAACAAAGTTGGCAGGGATGAGGC